CTTTTCCTTCTTCCTCCTCATGCATCACTTATTTGTTTATTTACTTTCCAACATCCTGGAAACAGAAGCCTCTTAGGGAGATTTAAGAAGTACTAACAAGTACTTGGGAAAAAATCTGTCCCAAATATGCAGGTTCATAAAGTTCAGTAAGAATCTGGACTTCTGAGTCCTGGGATAAATGTGATGCTATCTTTATTATTTGTTAGTATTATATGTGTATTTGTAATTAATGTGATATTCCTGCAACATTCTGGGGGATGGGCACTGTAGCTCTGAGATCCAGTTGAGGCCATCTTCACACCAAGAGGATTTGCCAACAGCAATAAGTCAATAAACTCTCCTAGTAGTGATACAGTATTTTCCACCAAACTAGTTATTTTGCTGGTATAGCTTAAAACAATCACTCAGAAAAAGTAACTATTTTTAATGGTCACAGCTGGCATAAGATGCAATGTGATCCTTTTGTGATATAGTGTGCCAGAAAAGCCAGTAATGCATTAACAGTTATATTGCATATCTGCATCAACAACGGGGCCTGTGCTGGTTTAACTTACATGAGTCTTCCAGAACATAGAGAACTTCATAGGGAATTAGAGGGGACCAGAACCAGTCTTTGCTTAGGATATGGTAAGAACTCACAGGCTTTTAGTGGGAAAGAGACGACAAATAGAATTTGATACCTTGTCCCACTCTATTATATCCATAGTAAACTGTTTTTCTATTCTGGTCCAAAGTCTTCTTTTAGAAGAGATAAAATCTTTTCTGAGAGTACTGTATGCACATAGCAATATGAGAAAAGAAAACCATAATGCTCTGACATAATTAATGCACATTTTATATGAAAGTTATTACTTAGCAACAATCAATTGTTAAAAATGCACATTAATTTCTGTCCCTTTCCACATAATTACGAAATAATATCTTTCAGAATTTGTTTGTGTTTCTGCTTTGCAGTTTGAAAATTAGAACCCCATTCTTGCTAACTCATCAGCCTCTGGAGCTGCTTTCAGGCAGCAGATGACAGACGTAAATTCATGATGCTTTACAGTTGCCCCTTGTGTTTACTTATTCAGGTGCGTGTGTTTAGGTGTTCTGAATTATCCATGTATGGTATATGCAACTTGCTATTTAATATATTACTGAAATTTAGACAGCTTCAAGATAATTGATCTGCTTTAAAGGGAATGGAACACAAAAGAGTAGCTTGAAATAGATAATAGGTAACGGGTAACTTTTAAAGGTCAGTTTTAGTGGAGACTTCAGATGGGCAAACTATAATTTGCAAAGTCAATCTGGAATGTAGCCAAGATACTAGGATATTGCAGCTAATAATCACTTTTAACATTTCTTTCAATAATGTATGAATTTATTCCACCTATAAGCTTGTCTTTTTATGTCATACTATCTACGCATGTTTCAGATATGACCATTTTATTTTAAATAGTTTAAGAAATTTTCTATTTTATAGAAATTATAATCAAAGAATGTATTAACTGTTAGCATGCCTTAAAAACTTATATACTTTTCTCATATTTTCAAGTTGATAAATTAACAAGACATTTTTTCCCATCAAAATTATTTAACCACAATTTTATGAGTTGGTCAGAACAATTAATCCTGCTAAACCTTTCATTAAAAGTGCAGTATAATGGATGAATTTATTTTATTCCATTTTATTCTGTTTTTTTAAACTAATCCAGGATTGCCTAACATGAAGCTGACAATATTATTGTCCGATAATTAGTGTCAAATAAAAATCAAATAAGATGCAAGCTTAGACCTTCATCCAACAAAGTATGTCAAGATACATTTGAATTTGAGCATACAAGTTTTTTTCATTGAAGTCATTATGGATACTTGCATGATTAAATCTAAGTAGGCCACTAAGTGGTGTACTGGATCAGGGCCCAAAGATTTAAAGGAAAATCAATCCTTTGAAAGCCACCAAGAAATGTGAGCAGGGAAAGCCAAGGCTTTAACTTACCAAGATTTAGGAGAACAGTCAAAAATGATTAACTGGAATCAATTTGCACACATTGTATGCACCGTATTTAGATCACACAAATTACTTCATATTAGTAAATCAATAGTTACATTCATTGCAAGCTCTAAGACTGATTATCCCTTGAATCTCCGAAAAGACTATAGAACATTTTTATGTATTAATAATTCATGTAAGGATAAAGGCCTTCTCTGGGCATGTAGATTAAAATAGATACTAAATATATCTTTGATTAATATAAAAACTAAACTAGGTAGCTTTAGCTAACATGTTTTGCAAACAGACAGAGAAAAATCACAATACCTTATTTGCAGAACCCTATTCTTTCACTGAGCAGTACGTTGTTCGGTACTTTTCCCCGCAGCAATCCAATCTCACTGTAAGCAATGATTACTTTAAATAGATCATGTTAGCATGATCTATTTACTTCCATTTATTTGGAAATAACCACTTGATCTAAATAAAATATTTTAAAACAGAGACCTGTTTTTAGGCACGTATCCAGTTGGAATAAATTGGTCACAATGACTGACACAAAATCCATCCAAATGGGGTGTGTGATGCAGTGAGATGGCTGGAATGAGAATCAGGAAGTCTAGATTCTAAACTGGATGCTGACAGTGAGAATATCTTACAAAATTTGTTATAAAATAGCTAGGTACAAACTCATCCTACTTGCTGGCAACTTTGTCTTCAGCTGAAAACTATGCAGCCATATTACTAGAGACCTGAGCTAATAAGCCTACGGAGCGCTAAGGCAAATTCCTCCAAGTTTAGGTCTGGGCCAACGCAGTTATTCAGCTTTCAGACTCTGTCCCTCTCCTTTCTCACCACCTACCTACACGATCTGATTCTCAGCCCTGGGCAAGTCACTTCATCGTTTTGCTCTCCTCCCCCTCCCCCCACTTTTCACATCTTATGCGCTGAGAGTAAAAGCTCTGCAGAGCAATGCAGGCATGATCTCAGTTGGGACTTCTAGATGCTTCTGTAATATGAATACTAGTAATAAATCAGGAAAGGATAATGGAAGTGTCAGTTGAGCCCTAACCGTAGCAGCAGAGTTGTAATGTACTATACTATACTCTACATGTTACACCATTCTTCAGGAAGGTCTTTGCACAGCATGGTTTACTCTGCTACAATACTAAATGTATTCACGATGCATCTCCAAGCACTACCCAGCACTAAAAATGAATCACAGTAATGTTACCTTCACTTCTCTCCAACAGAGATAATACTTTTTGTATGTGATGCCATTCTGTATAGGTTTTGACAAACTGGAAATGTTTAATGAAGTAATAAGACCATACCAGGAGCATATGAATCATCTTGAGGTGGTAGTATATAAAAAAGGAGAGCTGGAATAAGTGAGGCAATTCAATTTATATTTGTTTAGCTGAGCTTGTTTATACTGTTATTCCTAACTGTTCTAGATTCCAGCACAGACATCCTTGGCTGCTTCTCCCATTCACCATGATCAATAGTTTCTCAGAGGCTTATGAGATGTTGCAAGATATACAGGAAATGAAGGCAAGTGTATATATCACTAACACATAGACAAATCAGATAGCAAATATTCTGCAATTTTTAATTCTCCAGTAAGGCTATGCTTTTTTTTTTTTTCAAAATCTGAGCTATTCTGCTGATTTTCCATCATCCCTCTCACAAACCAGTAAACATGGTTACTGGTAATCCTATGAATGTAATCGTAAAGAGCATATGTAAATCATTAGCATTTTCTATCCCACGCTGCTCTTTATTAATGAATGCTTGCTCAGGCCACACTATTCTTTGTTCTATTTCAACAGGTTTGGCTGATGTTTTCTGACTTTGTAAATCCATTTAAGCATAAAATGTTTTTCTAAAACCCCAATAAATTCTGCCTTGTAGCTGTTCCACTGTTATCTACTAATTTAGTAATGTTCAAACCAAACACATTTATCAGTTTCTGTGTCCTCTTCATGAATCAATGCCAAGAGACCTCTCACTTGTGTCTGAATATCCTGCAATTTTGCCAGTATTTTCTGTATCTTCCCAAAGTAATTTAATACATTCCCTTAGCTACTCCTACGCTACACAAACATCTTTCTCTCTCCTACTGCTGACCACATCTACTAGCCTTCTTGGCAAAAGACTTCCTGTTATCTATTTCTACTCATTTTTGAATCTTGATACAGGATTCTTCTAAGCCTGCTCCTCTGACAGCTTTTGATCGTTCTAATTGCCTTATTATCATCTGCTCTCATACAGTGATAAAATCTTTTAATGTTTCATGTGCTAGGAAAGAAGAAAGGGAAAAATGTAAGTAAAATCACTCTTTGTTCCTGGAACGTTACCACCTCCACAGTTCATAATCATTAGGGTGAAGAATTCATTTTGGCCATCAGTTGTTTCAAAGTTTCATTCTTTCAGTGGCCCTGCTGTCTCTTTGCTGTTCTGTTCGCTTCAGCTGCAAAATGAATTGATCATTGCTGTTCCTTTTGCCACTTATTTCATGCACTATTTTAACAACCAAGAATAATGATTTGTACTCAATTCTTTAATTTTCCTATGAACTGTATGTCACAAGCATATTATTTTAATATAGCTTGTTGTATCTACATAAGGAATTGTATAATAAAAAAGCCCACTGTCATTTCTCCAGGGCCTAAATCTTATAATTTCAAGTTTAATGCCCTTCCTTCATTACAAGAAAAGGTATTATAGTGCAGAGGTTTAAAAACATGACTCACCTCTGTAGACTTGCTCACAGTTTTGAGTTCTGTCCTTTTGAGAAATTGGAAATGGTTGGAAATAATATAGTCTCCATCAGCCTTCAAGATATGCAGCCTTTGAACTTCAGAATTCAGAAATATACCAGGGATCTTCCACCAAGTACCACCATATCCTAATAAAAATCCTTCAGATTATCTGCCAATGATTTTGTGGCCCAATTAACAATAAATCAAATAATTGTAGCCTTGCAAAATGAGATTTTATTTCCCCTCTCTATCCACAGAAACCAAAACTGCTCATAGAAACATCCCAGCTTCAATAAATATTTTCTCCAGAAGGACTCTTCAGGTCTACAGTGGAATTGCTGATCAAAACAAATGAGAAAAACAGAAAGAACAGGAAGAACAAAACACTTATGTCCAGATGCTGTCCAAATCCCTCCCAGGTGATTATACGAACTATTATTTGGAGGAATAGCCTGCCTATGCCTGCCATATTTATAATAAGTATTTATAATATTGGAATAACACCAATAGGGGAAGGGAGTGCAAGATAAAAGCACTGGCTCTCCAGTACTGGAGAAACAGCATTTAGTGCTTGGTAGGAAATGGGGTTCCAGTCAGTTTGGAATTTCTGTGTTCAGTTTGGAGTGCATCTCAGAAGAAAAATACTAATTATTCTGGGATGGTTCTTCCTCACCGTCAGCTGTTCCAGTTATAAAAATAAGTCTGAAGAAGGGATTTGATTCCAGGTCTTCCATATCCCAGGTCTTCCTTCTGGATATTAGCCTCTGTAGCCCCCTTTATCAGTCTCTCACTTTGGATCTGGTTCCATTTTATGTGAATAAATGTGTAATTTTAACAACAGAGACCCAGTGCTACATGGTCTGGTGGCTATGGCACTTATCTAGAAGACCTGAATTCAAGGATCTGTTTCAAAAGATAGGGCAAGTAGGAATGATTTGATACCTTTTTTCCCATTTTTCTGGTGCAGCAATTCTCTAACTGCTAAGGTATTAAGTGGCATACTAAGCCTATGATTCACCGGGGGCAGGGGAGGAGGACATATTTCTACTACATCCTCATACAAGAATTGGAAAAGATGTGTATATTACAATTCTTTGTGATATGGGTAAAATATTTTCTATCCACTCTCCAGCTATCTGTAGTAGACATATTAACAGGATGTATTCCCATTACTGGTAAACCTTGCATCTCTTCTTGTGGGACAAAACTGATAAAAACACCTAAAACTAAAAGCGATTTTAAATTTCTACCAATTGTTCAGTCACAAAAATTATATTCAGCCTAAAAATCATGGTGCACTTTCAAATTTCATTGACATTGTATTTCTTTGTTTAGTTCCTTTTGTTTCACTATGTAAAAGAAACAGCTTTTCTTATGTTTAATTGCCCAGGTGCCCTTTTGATATAAAAGCTACAATTTGAACTCTTTATTTTTAAAAACAGCTGGTTCTATTAACTCCATGAAGGGAAGCATCTGTGAAATGCAAAATACTCATCAGAAGATTGTCCACTGCAAAAATGGAATTTCTATAGGTATTGCTACTTACATTGCAGCAAACTAGCTATGAATTACAATCAAAAACAAAGTATTACAAGAATTTAGAAACAAAGCTATTAATTAAAAACAAAGTATTCCTTCACCAATGAGAAATTACATAAGAAATAACCATTATACCACCCAATGCTCCATTACCAATCTCTGAAATGGCACCTCTATTCAACCTGATATGAATGAATTAGGCAAGATCTATTGATCCAATCAGAACAGCCTACACATTCTGAAAACCTACAAAAACTGTACAAGTCACAAAACTTGCATAATCCTTTCCCTCATTTTTCTACCTAGAAAATTTTATAGTCCACAGTTCTCAGTTCTGATTGTCAAAACACATCTGCAACACACACTCAAAAAGAAGCCTAGGAACTAAAATTAATGACCTTACAGGATGCTAGATATCACAAACTAGACAGGGAAGTTATAAACTTCCCTTGCCTTTTTGTCCACTAGCACGTTCCCTTCAGTGACAACTTCTCCATATTTCTGGGAGTAAGGTCTGGATCAGACTGCTAGAAAGGGTGGGTTTGAAGGAGAAACAAAGCGGGTAGCACAGTCTCACATGCCAACCTCTGACCTTTACTTTATGAAGTGACCTACTGCACTAAATTAAGCCATCAAGAGGGATTACAAGTAACAATTTACCAAGGTGGAAAACTAACCCAGGAGCTATTCAAAAGCATCACTTCCCATGGATTGTGAAACGTACTGCATGTTTAGAGGACATAACCTTGAACAATAAAGGAGGAGTAAGGAAGAAAAGTTGTGGCTGAGGAATAAGGAAGAAAGGTTGTGACTTTAAATTATGCAGCCTATTCTTTTTGCTGTGCACGTGTGTGGTCCTCCTGCCTTGCTAGTGTATTTTAGAGTCAAACTATCACGTAATGCAGATTTAGGATTGTTATAATTTTAGGATCATGATATGCTAGTCTCAATACTAAGAGACTTCTAGGGTATTTGATTTTTTTAATGAACACTGTGAATATTTGATTGTATGAATTGCACATAGAGAAACAACTATAGATTAGTAGCAAAGAGGTTAAATATTAGAAGGTGTGTAGGTGCAGAGTGTTAGAGAGGGGAACTGTAGCCGACTTAGCTTCAGCTTAGCATAAGTCTTACTCTTGTTTAGCATACGTGCCTAAAGTTGGTGAAGCCTGCAGGCCGCAGGACTGAACTGTAACCCGAAGAACATTGCTGACAATGCAACTGGAAAATCAGCTAGAACCAGTCCTCAAGGATACAGAACAGAGTGACCAGAGTGAACAGAGATAATGGCTGCCCTTCAGGTAAGATAAGGTACCATGGAGCAGGAACATAGCAACCGTCTAGCAACCGTCCCGGGATGTAGATGTGAACCAACCAGAGGGAAAGAACCGACTCAGCAAAGAAGATTGGAAGAGACTATCACTGCAGGGAAATAAGACTATAAAGAGTATAATTACTTAAGAATTGTTTTGTTCTGGGTCCCTGCCCAGGGGCACCCAGCTCAAGCTGTTACTCTGTCGTACTGTCATTTAATTAAATAATTAATTTTGCTGTTATACGTGCGTGAGACTCTGCTCCTCAGAATCCTAGGCTCAAACTGTTTCCATAAGAGTTTGGCACCCAGATGGGACCCTAAGCAACCACTGTTGGACCCTCTTGTCTCCAAACATCCAACTGCTGGCAGCCGGTGAGTTCACCTGGGTACCTTTGGAGTGGAAGGCACCAAAGGTTGAGTGTTAAATTTCCTTGAGTAGGTACAATAGGATAGGTTTGAGTCCCTCCCTTTTTGCAGCCGCGCGGCAGTTTTAAGGGTGCGCAGCCTGATTAGCGTAAGGTGCACTCAATAACGGGAAACATATCGGGAGTAGAAAAGGGAACACTCTGAGCTGAGATATTAGAAAATTGGAAAAAGATTGATGATACAGTGGGTTTATTTAAGCGCAATTACTTCATATCAAGAGGACTGGCCTTTCCTAACTAAAGATGGCAGTTTGGCAGAATGATGGCCACCACAGGGAACATTTGACAATCAATGTTGTTTCCACAACACAGAGGGTAAGAAGGCAAATATTTGCAAATATATGACATTGCAAAGACAAACAGAAATATCTGATATTAAAGGCCAAAAGCAAGTAAATACATGTGAAACTTGGCAGCTACTTAGGACAAGTTGAACCACAAAAATTGCATTGTTCTAACCAAAATTATTTAGCAGGTCAATTTAATTAAACAGCACAAACCCTTGTGAACACTCTTAAGCTGATCTGCAACAGGCTTCTTTTGATTTATCTTAAGTCAGTAAGCAATCTACTTAAGGTAAATCAATATAAGCCTTTTGTAAAACAATTTAAGGGTAGCTATATGAGGCCTTCAGGACTGTAGCAAAATTGATTTATTTAAATATGAGTTCTGTTAAACGGGTACAGCTTTTGTGTGTGGACAAGGCCTAAGGCTATGACATATTATCTTGCCGGTACTGATTCCATATCTACTTTTACTGTTTATTAGATTTTTAATCTTGTTAAAGTTAAAGCCTTCTTCCAGAAGGGCAAAATGCCAACCTTATTTATACATACTGTGATCTATCCTTTGCTCAAGAAACTATTACTGGTTGGTAATCCCTTAAATACCTTACATCAAATCCCAAAATAAACTTTACTGAGTGAAGTTGCCACAAAACTTTTTAGTCCCCTTAGCTGTTAGGTACCGAGTTGCATACTCTTCAAGGCTACAAGTAGAAAATAAATATTGAGACTATTATTAGTAGGCCTACTAACAGCTTTGGACACCACTGGTCATGATAAGCTGTTCCCTGATTTACAGAACCCAACAGGCCTGACAGGAGAATAGCAATCAGAAGCTATTCTCCCTTACAGAGAATCACACCTGTTGGATTTCACAGGACACAATGAAAATTAACACATAAATGAAGACATGCACGTATTTTTTAAGATACTGTGCTACAATCAGAATGCTTGTGGTTCTCAAATGCTCCAGACGTTTCTTCCTCAGCATGTAGCAATATATGTAGGCTGCTTAATATATCTGATTACACTTTCTGCTAGCGTCCAGCTCAAAAAAACAGGAAAGAGTTTATTATGAGCTACCTAATAATTGCCAGAAGTATTAGGTTTTTCTGGTGGCAGAGGTTCTGGATTTTGTCCCCGTAGACTTAATTATCTCTAATTTTCAGTACTGGATTGTTCCCTAGCTGATTGCTTCCCAATATGCAGGGGAACCATCTTTCAATTTGTAATGTGAAAAGATGTGAGGTACCACTCTAAATGCTTAAAAAATAATAACCTACGTAAAGAAAGACTAGATACAACTGCAAGTCATGAAGCCCTCCATTCTCATGACTATGTGGGTTTTTTTAGGATTCACACTAAACGTAATACAAAATCAGAATGACTTAAAAACGGTGCTATGTTTTACTTTGTCCCTTAAAGAAGACAGACTTTGTTTGCGACTTTCAAAACCCCTAGGCCTCAAATCTGGAGAACTCTCTCTAACAGACTTTAACCGAAATGAACTGAATGCTGCCTAGTATATTTACTTGAAATTAAATAACTGTCTTGCTTTATAAGCAGATTTATTGAAAGATTGCTGTTCCTTTTCCAAGTACACTATCATTATTATCACATGATTCTGTAAGGAATAAATGTTCTTCTAACATTAACTTAAATTCAGAGGATAACTATGAGGATAGATTTCTACTACAGGCAGCTGTGGTTTTGCAAGAAAA